CATTCTCATATGAAATTGTGATATGGGTGGTGGAAGCCCGTATCAACGCTGGTGATGTCTAGGACCACCCTGAAGCTTGTTGTTTAGTGAGGTCGAAAAGGATGTTTAGTGAGGTGTCACTTTGAATGTTAACTGATCTATGATTTCGTTTTGCTGCGTATGCGAGTAAAAATGGCACCGTAGATTTACTGGAGCACTGCGCACAATATGCCATTAAAATTCCTTAAAACTGAAACTTTCATGGTCACTATGCACATGACCGACCTGGCTTTGTTGAAGTAAGCCAGAGAGTGACGAACAGACGAGATCTTGCCATCTTCAGTGTCGTCGCCGACAAAGTCGTCACATACATAGCTGAACAGCTACGTAAACAATTTCACGGGTAATCAATACCAGTGATAAACACACATTGTTTTACAATGGCAGCTAGTTTGATACATAAAAAGATGGTTGCAGTCCAGTACAAGTGCAGTAAATGTTCTTAGTTTTCCCTTTCACAATGTTGAACGTTCACGTTCGAACTTTTCCCAAGAATGGTAAACGACTTCAACCCCAAAAACAACCCCCTCCCAAAATCACGTACCCGACCCTGTCGTTAGGACAATCGAACGGAGGATGACCTTTTTTAAGGCCTCTGTCACCTGCACTGCTGTTATTCTACAGGATCAGTATAGCAGTTGAGTTTAACTTTCCTCAACGATCCTGCCGCAAATATAACAGCTAGAGCTTGGAGACTGACGAACGGCGCCTGGACTCGTCCAAACCTCAAGGAAGAAGGTGAGAGCCCGAAGACTAAGCCATGTAGGGAAAGGAGACTAAGGGGTGGGTGAACTCACTTAAGTGTGGCACAAAAGTTTCAATGCATAAGATAACAGCAGACGTGAGCCGCTGTTTGGGCGAGAGAGCGCAGGACGGAAGGATCAACTGAAGGGGATTTGAAGAACCGAGTTCGAGTGGTCCGTATACCTTCAAACCGTTGGACCGCCCAAACCTGAGAACTAAACGATGATTCAAAGAATTTTAATGGCTCGATGAACAACACCTTAACATAATCCATAGGCTTCAAATCGCTCTGTTTGAAAATGGAAGTTTTCAAGCTATACAAACCGGATTAGGCTGCGGTGGCCACTCCACATGCTATTTCTATCGTTCCATCCTCTGTGTCGTGTTACTAATCTACGTGACTAACAAATAAATAAATGAAACCACATTTCCACCTTGAATTTGCAACTACTACGATAGATCATGTTGTTTTGCATAAGCATTACATGTGCTACCTCTAGCTGAACTCCCAAGAAATCAAATCAAATCAAATCACTTGCTACTGAACGAAAATCTTCGCTGAATTTGGTAAATTACAGTCCAACACACGCAACACTTTTTTTTTCTTGCTGGGATCTCTAAACAGATAATTACTCACCAGAATACCTCATAGGTTTGGCAATGCATCAACACGCAATGACGAGGATGCTTCATTTCGTTGTGATGCTTCAATCCATGGGCATTCACAAATCGACCGCAGAAAATGAGCCCACACGCCAAACACAACCAAGGGCTTTCTGACGAGTCACACGTGACACAATTCCATAGAACTTTCTCCCTGAAAAGTAATTGGTAAAAAAAATCATATACTAAACACTGTGAAGTCTCTGATCCGAAGCAACCCCTCAAAAGTTATATAAATAAGAGGGAATCAATTGCACAGTATTCGTTGAACAGTATGTCCATCTTTCCATCTCTGAATCATGGGATGTGATGGTTTTTGCCCTTTTGCTAGCAAACTGCTGCGGCGTTTAACGTGTGAAATGGGGGCAGCACTGGACTTTCTAAGGCTGCAAATCTGATCTTTGAGAGCATTCTAAGCTATGAAAACTGGAGAACGCTAGGCAGATTACAAAGGTGATTGATGTACATATTTACTCAAAGCCACAAGTCATGACTAGGCGGTCATAGAAGGCCTTTCCATCACTACTATGGCCAGGAATGCGCTCAGAGGGGTGATGCCACACTCCTGACTCGAGATTGCGCGCCGTCAAGGCCTCTGGCCTACTACTTACAGCGATGGGTTCGTTTCATCAGCTGGTCCCGCCCACCGCGGGATGTGGTGCGTGGCTGGCATAACGTGTGAAATCAGCTAGGTTGATTGCCGTATCAACCGATGGAACGGCTGGCATATCCGGAAAACTCGTTTGGACCTCTCCCAAGCAAGCCTCCTTCACTGCTAGTGGGAAGAGGGTTTCGTTTTCGGCCTTGTCGACGGTTTTTTCGTTTTTTCTCCACTGTCGTTCCACTTCGCATCTCTATACTCAGTTTCAGTCGCCATAATACCCCTTATTGAGCCCGACTTTTGCCTTTAAGTGTGCCAATGTATTTCTTTAGTGAACTACGGTGGGCTGTGAAGCAACAGTTTACGCAGTTTCAACCCATTGATGCTTTATGAAAGTAAGTCACATAAAGATCTCTCGACGTACCCGAAAATCACAGAGTTGAAAACTAGTAAAGGACGAGCGTCAGCATATTGATGACATTTTTGAAGAAGAAAAGCGGACAGCAAAAGGATAAAACATTGAAGATCCACATTTGATCCTATTAGCATTTCACGCCAAAGCACTTCATCAATCAAGGATGTCGCGTTCAAAAAACATAGGCTCGGAAAGGAAGCAGATTTAGCACCGCAAGAGACAAAGTTTGTGAATAATCGCCGGCGATTGGCCGCAGAGCATTGGCACATGCCATGCACTCCCCATGAGCCAAGTCGATTTTGGTTCACGTCGGGTTCTTTAAGGTGATCGTTTCTTCCTGTTATGAGTGACAAGGAGGATACTCGTTGATCACGGAAAAGATTACGCAGTTGTATGATGCTAACAACCAGCTTCTGTTGAAGCACTCGAAGTCACGTCATCCACTTTACTTGTCGCAGACGCAGTCCTCAAACACCAGACTCTCTCTTTCTCACTAATGTAAGAATGTCGCGTCGGTTGGAACTAGATCATTAGTTTTTACAAATTAGTTCCGGGATCAGGCCGATCAAAAAACATCTGATTGAAACAGAAGCCTAAAAAAGCGCTGTGCGACCATTACGATCGTAACGATTGGACGACCGATATGTATGCGCCCAGAAAGCGCAGACGGGAGCATCACATGCAGGCGGTTCAAAGGACCGAGTTCCAGTAGTCCGTTGACCCCAGACAGCGAGACCCTGCGAGGAAAAAGTGCATCACAGGAGATGGTACAACATCACGCGCTCAATGGCGACCCTACGACACAGTCTGTCTACCCCAACCTTAGATAAAACACCAGCGGGAGACGCCTTATCCTGGGGAAAAATAGAAGAGGACGGCCCAGAATCGAAGTTTGCAAAAAAATGAAACTGGAAGTCGTCGCCTTGTAACTTTCACCCCACGCCTGCATAATGTTCCACTGGAACCTGAGCCCACAACTTCGAGGCCGAGTTCCCGTGCGTATGCGCTCTTCTGCAGTCACGTGTTGTAGTTAACCACGACGATCCATCAAAGATATTTCCAACCATGGGTCCCTCACAGGAACCACCGAAAAATGTTGGGGACACTTAGGGGACGAATTCCCCAAGACTCGACTGGGGATATATTACCGGACGCATAGGGTCGACGGCAGTGACTGTTTCGAATGCCGCGTCATAGGACCCATCGAAAAATGATGGGTCCTGCGGTGAAATCCCCAAGTGCTTCTTGCTGCATGTCGGGGAGACGCCCCGAGGTTAGGCATAGCCCTCTCCTGTTCGAAAACATACCTTACGGCCATAGGAGTTCCCGCAGCGAAGAAAGTACCGCGCTGCGAAGAGCGAAAAAGTTGCTTTCTGCCATAGCGAACCACACCCAACTTTCGGAGTAGATCACAGCAGAAAGTCCAATTAGGCGTGCAATCTTTTAAAACCGCTTCGAGGCAACATTGCGTCTCACAAAATGCTGAAAGGGCAACTTGGACTGAGCAGACCTAATTTCAGAATGGCGAATCCTATCCTTTCTTTGCGAAGCTGGCACAGTATAAATCTAGGGCATTGGGTGTGAATAAGGAAATGCTAGAAAACACCTGTTTCAACGATAGTCGGAAAACGGTCCACATTTATAGGCGTACGTTTAAAGGAATATCCTACGGGAAATGGCCGTAGTTCACTTCCAGCTAATGAAACAGATCGAAAACTACAGGGGGGGGGCAAAAAAAGACATTTTGTCTCCAGACTCAAATGGATTTAATCACACTTTGCTCAGCTCAAAGCGTGTGCTCCCAACTTAGAATTGAAGAGCGCATTTCATTTCATAAGAAAATCTTCATAGTGGCCATCTACGTGGACGGCATCAGAAAAGTTTGCCCCGGAAACATGGTGCTCTGGTCGAGCTCAATGGGGTTCTCGACTGATCGTGTACCGTTACGACGGGTTCCGAGGGGGTTTGCATAGTTAGAGCTAATGTCCCTAGGAAACTATCCCACGTTGAATCGATCCAAGAAATTATGTAAGAGCTTCAGGCTGAAGCAGTTACTGTAGGCCTGAGCTCGACGACGGTGACAGATGACGTCATATTCTGAAGACGGTGAGGGTAGTGAAGGAGGGCCTGCGTGTACTTATAGAGGGACATTTAGGGAATATTTTGCTGAGGAACTTCCGTCAACGACGGCAATCTCTGCGAAGAAAAAAAAGGCCGAAGTGCGACATGGGCAAAATGTCTTTTTTTTTGCCCCCCCCCCCTGTAGTTCTGAGAAAAGGAAATGAAGACAACCAAGAATTCGATGATGGTTGGGATATGTTGCAGATTTCGCTAAACCAAGGACAGGATATGAACTGAACCCTGACAAATCCGATATTTTTCCACGGATATGTACACGATTGCCGCCTCCGCTTGAGCTAAGAATTTGCGCTAGCACACTGATAAGCAGACAAAGCCGATTTGCCTTCAGCCCTTGTGACGAGAAGAACTTCATCTCTCTACGTATGTCCTTTTGAAGCACTCGTAGATGTCCGCCTCTTCTTTGGATTACCATGTTTGGGCCCAAACTCAGAAAGCTGAAAGTACTTTGAGAAGAAACTCACGAGGCATCACGGCTGAGTTTTCGTTGTGTGCGTACTGCAGATCGGCCACCATAGTCGACATCGTTGAATTCACGTAAAAGTTGCAACTGCGACAGATTCACAGCTGCGATGCAAACTGAGCCCGAGATATGGGGGCAATCCACCATAGGTCCTGAATTGGCATCCAATAAACGGATATGACGAATGTCCAATCAACGATGAACGATAACAACACAAATGAGCACAGAGAAAAACAAAAAATGAGCCAAGCAAAACGAACAAGAGTAGGAAACCGTGTGAACAAGGCTATCCCCATTCGTCGTTCTGAAAGATAAATAGTCACGACGACCTTTGTCACTCCCTTCTCCTCATACCTACATGAGTTCCAACCGACCCAAAGTTAACAAAACTTTGTGAAAGCTTCAATTTTGTTCTTGCAAATATTTTATCGAATGATCCCGAGGCTGGCAGCATGCCCAATTACGGTAGCCCCAACGCAGGTCCTGTAACGATTATTCTTTCAGCGCTCCAATGTTGCGTCCTTTAAACTTGTTCACTATTTCTTTTCAAAGGCCTAAAGTTGGAGTTTTGATTTTAATGATCACTGTTTTGGTGGTGGTTCCGTGTTGTTTAAGACCCTGAATATGTTTAATTTTGGAACATTGGTTATTTTATTAGCGTTGTAGTTGCCTTTGGGGTTCGTGCTCTACTTAATTTTTTGAAGTTTTGTTTTTACTAAGGTATTAGACTTTGTTCAGGTAAAAAGCGTCATCTGCAAAGATGAAACTTAATTTCGCCAATCCGGCGACAGGTCAACAAAAAATGTTCGAAATCGATGATGAGAAGAAATTGCGCATGTTTTACGATAAGCGTATGGCGCAAGAAGTTGAGATCGACGCCCTGGGAGAGGAGTGGAAGGTTCGTTTGCATTATTTTTCTATTTACTTATGTTCTTGTATTCTTTATAAAATTGTACCTACTTAACCCCCTTGCTGAAGCAGGTGCGGGAGCTGGCGGCGAATGTAGTTGCTGAGGAGTTTCTTGTATCACGTTTATCCAACATTAGAACTAGTTAGAACGCAACGCGAATCCTATGGTAGAGCCATTTTCAAGTTTCAATGCTCGCGAGGAACGTGTTTTTTGGTCCTTTCTTCTGGTGGGCTTTTCCGAGAGGTTGTCAACGTGAGAGAACCTTCAATTTCTTGAGAGAACCTTCAATTTCTTTGGTCCACAAATATTGGCATTCCTTTATAGTTTTTGTTTTTGAAAATTTTGCAGAAAACTTCGGTAGGAGTGGGAACCACTAAGCAAAAAATTTATTCGAGGGACAGTTTTGAAGAGGGGAGGGTAGTGTGATAGGATTGCACACGTACACTTCACCAAGCGATTTCTCGAGTTGAGCTTAAAAAAACAGTAGATGATAACATGTGTTTTGGTGGGACCAGACACAAGTCGAGTACTCAAGCAGTACACGCCACGGCTATCCTTCTTTTCTTGGTGGTTCGGTCTGTTTTCTCTTTTCTGTATTGGACTTGCCATCGATCGGCTTTTCTTTCTTCCTGGATCAGAGTCTAAAGCGACTAAGGTTAAGCACTTTTAAAACAGGTCGCGGTTCTTCCAATGTCTTGTTTCTCCTCGCTTTTGGTCTCACCCAGTGAGGGTACGGTAGCTGGTGCTGCCTACAGAAATGTCAACATTTGCAGGGGAGAAAATTTCAATGGGGGTGATTCTTTTCGCTCCGCAATACCCACCCGGCGCTTTTTTCCTTTGTGTAAATTGAATTACTTTAGGCGGCATAGGCTGTCGCACAACATGCCTTTGCTTACGGATGAGACCCTTTTTTGTTTTGATATCACTCCTTATTTTGTTTGAATTTTTGTGCTTTGTTTGAATGTATTTTCGGTCTTAGTTTCGCTACGGTTCGGTCGAATTATGGGCCTGCTTGGAAGGGTGTGGCAGGTTAAAATGAGAACATTTCCTCAAATCTTTTTTGATGAAAAGATGTCCAAATCTTTCAAAGATGGTCGCTTACTTAGTTACCTCTTATAAACTTCCCTTATTTTTTGAACGCTTCAACCGCGAATAGTCGAGGTCGCGGTAAACCTTCGAGTTCTGGCGGAAAAACAGAAAAAATTATTGGGAATCCACAGCGGAGTTTAGAAGAGGTCGTGGCCAAGTAAATGGTGCACCACTGATCGGTTGGTTTTATTTCGCTGATAAAAGAAGCATGAATTAGATGCTGACTCCTTATTTTCTTTCTGGCTAATTCTTGGTGATTCAATGTTTCATTAGGATCTATGGACAACTTGAACTCAGTCCTTTAAACCGCCTCGATATGATGCTCTCGCCTGCGCTCTCTCGCTTCAACAGCGGCTTATGATTACTGTGATCTCACACATTCAAACTTTTGCGTTGATTTGACCTCCCCCACCTCCGAGTCCCTCGAGCCGTTCTCCGATCGTCTGTGCCTGGCTTTTCGCGGCAGAGGACATAGGGGAGATTCAAGTAGTCACATCATCGTTCCATTGGGCAAGTTTGAAAGTCAACACTTACAACGACTGTAGAAGTGAGAAATATTGTTTCGTAAAGCAGATAAATTCCTCTAGAATGATTCATGAAATGATGTAAAAAGCATGTGGTTTTTGCGGAGAAAATCCGGAAGGAAAACGGCATTAGACCGTAATTATCATTTGCAATTGTCCGATCGCACAACCGGGTATGGAACAGCTACGTTTCGATCGTCCGACCTCATGAACGATACGATCGCGATTGCTAACTATAGCTGCGGCTCTGCTTGAAGACTAACCTCATATGTATGTTCTGCAGGTGTGAACTTCATTTTTAGTATGCCTCAACATTGGCGTATTATTTTGGCCTGTTGGACAAAGAAGTTGTTGGTATTGATAGGATTGAGCCGTCAACTGCCTCATTCCAAATGCATTATCCTGTTCAAACGCTTTTTAAACTTGTAGGGTTATTGCGCTTCCAATAATTCTTTGTAAGCACCATCACATGTTGCCAATCTTGACTAGTGCTATCTTCAGAACAATTTTCTTTCTGTATTTGATATAATTACCACTCAGAGGCGGATCATACAAGTAAAAGTCGAAGCCTTGAATCTATAATGAAATGCCGCCATTTTCCAGCACATTATCAATTATACCATAGGTACATTGTTTAGTCCACGAAACTATTTTTCGTAAGCAAGTTTTTTTTTCAATTTTTTTTTTCGAGAGTAGTCAATCAAAAAGTGGATCGGGAGTATTATCTGATCTGAAACTCGAACAGCATTGTAAGCCTGTACGGTTAGGAGAAGCGGGCGCTCAACTTACCGCCTGTTTCCGATCCACGATCTATATTTTGACCGTTAGGTGACCGCTAGTGATTAGAGGTTTTCGGTTAGAAGTGAAGGTATTTTATAGAATAGAAACCTGAGGATAACGGCTACCCCTACACTCGAATGAAGCCTGAGTCAAGTATGTACAGTAGATGCCACAAATATGTATAGATGGAGGCGATAACATTTATTTTAGTTAAATAACATTACGCTGCGTTGAAATGTTTTTCACATAGAAGGATTACAATAATACCGACTATAATAAGTTACGGATCACAGGCTGTTCAGGAAAATCTAACAAGCTTGGTAAATGTCGTGAAGAAGTCGCCTCGGAACATTTCCTTCCATGTATCTACCCGACATTTCAGGGATACATTGTCCGCATCACTGGAGGAAAGCACAAAGCAGGTTTCACTATGAAGCAGGGAGTTGAGCAGCGGTCGAGTCCGTCTACTGCTCGCAAGGGTGACTACTTGTTATCGACCAAGAAAGGCTGGAGAGCGAAAAGAGGAAGTCTGTTCGTGGATGCATTGTTGACGCCAACCTGTCCGTGCTGTCTCTCGTTGTGGTGAAGAAAGGTGAGCTTTGCACTGTTTCTAGCTTTTCAAATGCTTTATATTTTTTTTTACTCATCTAGGAAATCCAATACATCCAATATATTTATCCGGCTTTCTTAGTGTAAATGTGGTCCCAAGTGTAGCTGATTAAACTTCACTGCCTTTCATACGTGTTCCGTGTTTTTATTGTGCGCACCTTTGAGTGTAGTTCAAATAAATAAAGATACTTCCCTTTGCTGTGCCAATGGTGGTACATTTATAAGTTGAAGAATTAGCTTTAGATTAAGTTGAACAGTTTTTTGTGCGTGCCCAGAGTGAAAATTCGTTGTCCGTCAATCATTTAGAACTGAATAGAAGCTCTGTATACTCAATAATCTTCCGAATTTTCATTTTGCGTGCAAAGTTCTCGAAAAGTCGTCCGGTACTGTTGAGGGAGTCTTATGAAGGAAACAAGCCCATTTCCACAATACTGTAATCAGTAAATTATAAGTAACATTTGTCGTTTATCTATCTTCATCATTTTTTTATCGTATTATCCCGCTTGGGCAGGCTTGCTTAGTTATGTCGTGACGAAATCCAAAAGAGAAAGAGAACAAAATCTCATATACATAGTGAACTGTACGAACAGTCTCTAAAAGTTATTGTGTAGATGGTTTGTTCGACCGCATTCAATATTTAGTTGCTGTAAAATATTTCATATGTATCTATAGTCAGTATACCGCGGCCGATCGTTCAAGTCGTACAGGGAGGTTCAGAATTAAAGAGTAGCATTACATTAAAATTATCGTTTAATGTTGTTTTGCTAGAGCTTTTTCTCAGTCGAACGCCAAACGAACTGGAAACAACCAAGCTACTTCACCCGATTGGTAACCGTACAGTCACTTGCAACAAAGATTGGATAATTTGTCGTTATAACCTATTTACTTAATTATTTAGTTTAGACCAGTGATAGAAGAGGGTTAAGAATAGTTATTTTATGATCTATTATTGGAATGCGTTTGAGTACAAGTTGAGGCCAAGGGTGCAATGATATCTAAGGCATTGTTTTTAAAGTTTTAAATAAGAGCAAGCGTTCATTGAGCCTGGACAAGAGCAGATTTCACGTATACTAAGAGAGCAATTATCTTCAATAGCTTGCATTTTAGCGTGGCCAGATATTGAAACTACAGACAAGGTGCTGCCTCCAGTCTCTGTGGTTGTGGGTGGGGGTGGTCCAAGGGCAACAAATCGCAGTTGTTAATCTTTTCTAAGGAACGAATCCACGCAACACATGTTGACGAAAGTAGAGTTGGATTGAGTGAGTGTATGAGTTTGTGGCAGAAGGGTAGAGAAGAATTGTGTCGATAAGATGGATTTTGCTCTTTAGTGCACAGTGTTTGTGATGTCGACTAATGTAAGATTATTGAGCATTGAGGAGTAAAAGAAATATTACAAGTAAATCTACCTTAACAAGAGCCTAACATGATTTAAGTGTGAAAATAGGCTATCTGTATCCATATGGCTTTGGGTTGGGGTTGGGGTGGCGTAGGCTAAGAATGACAAGAAAATTGAAAATGCTTTGCGTGAGCAATGTTGGAAATAAAAAATGCAAATACAGGAAGCTAAGTTGTATTTAGGAAAACCTTCCCGTATTATCGCACCCAAAATCCAGAGACTCATCACGCCGACCGTCATTGGAAGACGTAAGGCCCTCCTCAGGAAGAAGGTACAACAGCGTAACAAGTCTCGCGAGGAAGCTGCTGCATATATCATAAACTCATGACCAAGTTCGCAAAGGTGAAGTTATTCATTGTTCCCTAATGTCGAGTGCCCTCCTCACTATATCCAAATTCAGGAGGTGAAGGATCAAAAAGTCGCCCGTAGAAGATCATCCGCTTCGAGGTCATCGGAGAGTGATGTGAAGAAGGCTGCCAAGAAGTAAACGGGATTGTTTCTTGTTATGAACCCCGTTTGTTTCTACTATAAATGTTTATTATTGTTTGCTGTCATTAACGGCTGGTAAATTTCTGAAGACACTTGTCGTAAAAATAGAAACTGCAAACTAAAGAATAAAGAGAATAGAAAATAATATAGAAAACAAAAAATATAATAAAAGATAATAACAAACAGAAAAAGTTTTGCATACTAATTATGAATAAGAAATGACAGGATAAACAGCGTCTGATGTCGTCGTTGTCAGGTTCGCTGCAGTGGACATCTTGCTACTACTGCCAAACATATACTGGGGAATTGAGTGACACTGGAGATTAGTCAACTGGGGGGGGGGAGCGAAACGCGTACAACGGACGTCCTAGTCGGTGAAGCGGGCAAGGAAAGGCATTATTAGGACAATCAAGAGTAAGGAACCGCCTTCAAAAACAAAATAGATTGGTACATAGAAGAGTAACTAAGGACTCTAAGAGGAGCTGGCGGCGAGTGTTCCGTAAGGGTAGCCGGCACGGCTGTGGAGTCGGCGATCTCCGCTATTGCGCATTTCCTGAAAATTGATGGTGAATTAGTTGTAATAGGCGAACATGGTCTTTTCTTGTTTCATATCTGCAGTTCAAAAATGTGGAAGAGGCACTATGCAATTTTGCTGCGAACATCGCGCATCGGGTTTGACAACTGATAAGCGATTGCAGTCGTCGGCCTCTAAGATGTGTTTAGAATCAGGGGTGGACGGCGGCGGTCGCTTGGTATGCGATGAGGGGGATCGACAATGCGCTTTGTCCCCTTCATGCTGTGGCAGAATAATTGTGTTAGATTTTATTATTTTATACTCAACCATAAACAACGGTTGGTCTAAAATATGTACTATTCTGAAGCGAGGTCCACTCGTCGGTCCAATTTTTCACCACGTTCAATTCATCTTTTATTCTCAATTTTACGTGGTAAAATAAAACGCCAGATATATAGTAAGTAAGATCTTGCAATATTAGACATCTACAATTAAGGGCAGTTGGTTGTTTGAACCCGGGATTGTTTGCCCTCCTCCTTTATAGGTCACCTAGGATTGCTACACAACAAAATGTCGGCGCACACTCGCTCGCGTCAGGTGGCTCGCTATAAATCTGACGCCTGGACCTTTCAGGTCTCAAGAGGATTCAGCGGGTCATCAACATCCTCACTTCGCAGCCATTGACGGTTGGAAGTGAGGGCCCCAAACCCTCTGGTCTCATGGGGTTGAACGGGTGCCTACTGCCTTCCCGGCAAGATTCCAGGATAACGGGTGGAAGCGGGGGCGCCAAACCTTTAACAAACTATGGCGCAAAAAATCATGCAAAAAACATGGAAGTAGGGAACCACATGAGCATAAATACTAACATATACAAGAAATATTACTCCATAATACGTATAGGAGGAAAGTCCAATCATATGCCTCTGATTCAATCCTCGCCACACTCGTCCACAAGGAAAGACCAGGACCAGCTGGCTATTACGTAAGATAGACCCAATCACCGTCGGGTCGTTTCACTTTAGGGGGCCGATACGTGCTCATGGCGGGTACGAAAGAGGCCGCAGAATACAACGCTCTCCAGAGGCGGGGAGCAGGGATTAAGAGACCCGTAGCACGATATAACGTGGTAGAGGCGCTCGTATACCGTTTCGTGCTCGGACTGGGGAAATCCCTCTCGCCTTCCAAGTGCCTCTCAGCGTTGCCCGGTTCAACACGACAATCATGGATGCCGCAGCAGGGACACGTAAGACTTTTTGATTATCAGCAACGTTCAACTGGCTTAGAGGGATGTGTGTCAGGACGCCATTCCATACACTCACCTGACAGCTAGGTAGACATAGGAGACGTCCGAGGCAAGGCTGGTCACCGCTTCGCCACAAGGCACACACGACGACTGCCGGCTGGCACTGACCGTAGGGGGCGGAGCCAATGGCGCAATGGGCGCATTTGCGCATTGGCATCCGAGCACGAATGGGCCGGGGCGCACGGTGCGCCCACGGGCAACGAAACCCACCCCACACACCCAACCCCCCACCCCCCCCATCGATCCGCAACAAAATTCTACAATCAGCTTCAAACGAGCTAGGCTAGTTACGTATTAATGCTGCATAGGGAGGATGGTTATGAGCTAATCCAGAATGTGTGTCATAAGATTTGCCGAGGATGTGGGCTTCGCGGGATAGTGAATGGCATTTTTGATAAGTTGTCGACTCATCGGGACGTGACTTGAAGTCGCAATTAGTTCGCTTGTGCAGCTAAGGGAATCAGACTACGGAAAACCGCCTATTATGTGCAACACTTATTATGTTATCCCTCCAGCGCAGACGCCGCACTCAACCTAGCGTCAGTTTTAGGCAGAGCTCGCACCATCACAACATAAATTCCAAAATATATAAGAGACAGTTGCAAGTAGAGGGTTAGGATGGTCTTTATTTGGGTGCCGCTACCGTACCTCATCAGTCCACTTTAAATCCGTACGTGACGTTTTGAAAGCGACTTCCGTTTCTTACCACGATAATTGCGGGCGAGTCCCCCCGATTTAGTCAGTTTCCCGTCTCCCCACACAGGTTTGTGGACAGATTGGGATTCTCCTGTGTGTGGTGTGTTGGAAGAACGAAAGTGCTATTAAACTATTTTTCGATTTGTGAAATTTTATTTAACTTAATAGACTTGGCATGGGCGGTTGAATAAACCAGCGCATGATTCAGCGATGAGTGCGGTTGTGGATGAATTTGCCGTTGCCGGTAGGTCGTTACGGGTCATCCATGTGTGGTATTATAAGTGGATTAATAATTAGCTAGAGGGGGGACGAAGGAGGTTAAATATATTATTTGATCAAAACAGAGTACATATTCTGCATATATTGGGGGGGACTGAAGGCGAACCGGGTGCTAAGAAATTTTCAGGTGCGTTTAGGCGAATGGTGGTGCAGAGATCATAGAGGGCGCAGTGTTGAATTGTCTCGCGAGGGGGGGTTGCAAAGGATATTGAGGAGGACGGGTTAGCTAAGAGGCTTAGAGTAGGGGGGGGTGTGAGAGGTGGGCGGTTAGTGTAGAGTGTGTGGGAATGGTGTGCAGGGGGTTTTGAGAGCAGATCTTGTGTGGAGGGTGGGCGGGCGTTGATGTCATTGGAGTGTCATTGTGTGATGATGTGTCGAGCTGGGGTGTGAGGGTGTGTTGATAGTTTGGAGAGACTGGGAAAGAGAGAGTGAGGGGGGTATACAATACGATCACAGTGTGTGTGTGGCAGGTGCTGCAGCGAGTGCGTGGTTTGCGCTTGCTGCGTGGAGCGGGCGGGGAGAGTAGCTGAGTAGTGTCGATTCCCCATACTGATCGTATTCCATGGCGTTACCGTAGCTACTGCAACTTTTCTTGACCTAACTAATGAATTGTCGTAAATTTCATGACTGTATTTGTGGCGGTGGGGGTTTCAATACATTGACGACAACGTGGACCGCATACGACCCACACGCAATCCGCGTGGGACGGTGTGGGCCACATGTCGCCCGCACTCATGTGATCCTTTTTGTGTGTATGCGACTTCTGAGCTGGTCTTTTATGTCCATTCTGTAGATCATATCCTAACATACTGTGAACAATTTCGTTTTCAAAATTATCAGATGTGTTTTGTTTGGCAAAGATCCCTGAACTAAAAGGTTTATTCCTAGGTTTCTTTCATTTTCTCGAACATGTGTTTGGAATAAGGGTAATGTAGACGCAGAAGCATATTGGAATGTACATGTGTTTCGATTGGACCAGTCCCTGCGAAAAGGCTTGTGACGGCTAGTCCTGCGAAAGTCAATGAATTATGCCTTCTTACTACCTTTACACGTCCTTCTGCTGGAAGTCTACAGCTATACCCCTGGATACCGCGCATTGAAAATTCCTTGAATGCGCTTTTTATTTCATTTTTTGTGCATTTTCAACTAGAAATCTATATTTTTAAGGTTGGCTGGCCTCTTCCATGAAATCACCGGTCCCAGTCGGCCAAAAAAGTCAAAGCGAGCGCGGTTGGTGTGTCAGTGCTGTTGAACGATTTTATAGCGGGCGGTATCGCTTTGGCCGAATAACCGAAATCGCATGAACCAAGGGTTTCTTCGTGCCAGCCCTTGTACCTGTGGGATAGAGCACGATATCCGTTTGGACCAATTTTGGCCACTCGCCACCCGCATTGCCGAATTCGACTTATGTACACGATATGGCGCAGTGTGGCTCGAGGTGGGGGCAGAGTCAACCCTGCGTTGCGCAGTTCGCAACGGCACGTTGAGAGATCCTCAACGCACGCTGTATGGGCGGAGACGCAGACGGCTCGAGCATGCGAGTGTGAATGTTCGCGCGAGAGAACGTGTCTAAACTGCGCAACGTGGCCGTTGAGAACTGCGCAACGCACGGTTGACTCTGGGTGGGGGAGGCAGTCGCGGCCAGGGCGCGTGGCATGTTAACTTTTCTCAGTGTAGAGCGGGAAATCCGTGAGCCAAGGGGAGTGTAGGCAGTCTAGTCGAGGAAGGGGAGGGAGGGCAGTCACTTGACATGCGTAAAGTTGAAATGTTTGAGCTTCCACTATGTCATGTGCACTGGCCCCACCCCCCCCCCCGAGCCACGTACAATGGTACATTCTATTTAACTTGACGCGAAATCACTACAGTACGCGCTGCGACTCGTCTACTGACTCTGCCCTCTTGCCGCGCGACGGGCCTACTGTAGGGAACCCAGGTATTTGCTTTCAATTTCTGGCGGTATCATTCTTCGAAAGAGTTGGGGCCGGAACATGAGGCGCTGCTGCAACCGCTGTGACCTGAGTATTGTATTTTGCCTGACGAACGCTCACTCCCAGGCAATAGTAAGCTGTGCATGACATATATGGGAAGATAAAAAAAGATCGATATTCGATTGCTCCTCTGCTTACTGTATAATTCCTGAGCCAAACTGGCATGCGTCTATACGACTTCGAAAGTGAGAAATCGTGGGTAGCGCAACAGTTGCAGAGACATTTCAACGTGGAATGTCGTGGCGAGAGCTGATTTTGCTGGTTGGATTCACTACACTTTTTGGTGGAACTGCCGGCGATGACCACTCGGATTGTAAGTTTGATCTCTAAAAGCTCGATGGAAGACTCTAAGATAGTCTTCACCGCAAAGACGTTGAAAATTCTCATTGATGCTCATTCCAGCCTTTTGCGCTGACGTCAATCCTCTTGTTGACGACATTCAGAGGTACAGAATTATACAATGGCATACGGAAATGAGGGAAGAGATCGCAAGAGGACTGGCCCAGAATCATCACGGCGAACTACTACCACCAGCTAAAAATCTTTACATAATGGTGAGGAACATTTCCCTCTGATAAGCCGGCATATGAACAGTCTTGTTTTCGAAATTGTAGGCATGCCCCAGGATCAGATTACTGTGGTTCTGAACACGGATGTATTGGTGTGAAAGGGGCAGTGAAAAAAAGGAAAAGAATCCGTCGAAAACGCTTAGGTTAAGGGCTCACTCACCTTCCTAATCGGCTGTGCTAAGGGAATGAGAGACTAAGCGCGGAGAGGAGAGTATGAGGCGAGAGAGCGCAACAGATGAGAGGGCGCCAGACAACAGCCTGATAAAGAAAAATTGCAGCTGCAGCAGCTTACTTTGCAAGGCCCTAGCGCTCTTGTCGGTTGGTTTCCGTGCACGGGAATGCCACATCTGTGTGTCCTCTAGGGGTCTATACTACAGACAAAAGGGAATCGTTCACATGACGTCCAGCTGGGTTGTGCCTTTAAGAAAAATAGGTTGTGGTTAACTCCAAACGTCTGTCAGTGTCTTTATAGCGTTCGGCAAAATACTCATGCACCAATACTTCTATGTTATTTTGAAATCTCAAGTTTAAAACGAATTGATTCTGATTATGAACATTTCATAACAAACGTAACAATCCAAAAAGTACTAGCGCCTCCCAAATTGAATCTGGCCTTCAAATTTTTAACGCTCCCTTCAGATGCGGTAATGCAGGTAGTGATGTCTCACATCTACAAGCTCTTCGCTACTGCAAGATGTGCAACCTATCACCACAAAAGTGACTAACCTCGCAAGGCTTTTTAGGCAGCAACATGGCAAAACTGTTAGATTTGTCCTTTCAGCCAGCATACATACAAATATACTTATCTTCTAATATTTCTAGAAGTGGGATAGCTCAGCGGTTAAAGACTCCACAACCTGAACATGATCTTGAGTTGGTGAAGGCCTTTCCTGTCAAGTTTTTCGCGTCTATTCCCCATCCCACCTATCCGAGGATAAGTAACATACAGTAACATACAGATAAATAACATGGAGGAGAGCATTTGATCCTGACTTATGTTTTTATAACCAAGAAGGTCACCATGGGGTGTTGTGGAGACTAGGATACGAGGGAGACATGATGGGCAATGGTCCATGCTTGCGGTGATGTACAGACGGCAGGGTGGCTGGAGTAAGCATCCATGAGTGAGTGTATCGATGATGATCATGGTGGATGGCATCGTTTCTTGAGCGCAGATGGCGGGGGGAGGGGGGGGGAGAGAATGAGGGAAGAAGGACTGGGACTGAATACTGTCACAGCGCCTTGATAGAGGAACATTGAGGATTTCTTCCTTGAATTGCTCGGCCTACAGTGCAACATTAAATTGCAGACGTGTTTACGAGCAAGGTGTCTTCCTGTGCCACCCGTATGCATGAAGTGCGTATGTAATCACATTTGTAGGCATCCTAGTATCGCGACAATAAATGCAAGAAGAACCTCCTTAAATGAATGAGAGATTCTGATTACATTATACATGATTTTCAGAGGTGGAACTGCTCGCTTGAAGCTTTAGCACGAGAACAAACTCACAGTTGTCATCACTCAGTGAACACTTCTCTTCCATATGGTCAAAACATCATGTAGTAAGGGTCTTCAAATAATAGTCAATAGTTAATATAATATTATATTAAAATCAATTGTTGAAAGGTAAGGTACTCTAATTTACGGTCTACAAGCCCGCACGCCACGTGTATAAACCCCTACCCTAGCACCTCAAAAATTATGATGGCTAGAGTTACTTGTTTAATCTTTAGAATATTTACATCACTTTGAATATTTCGTGTAGATATGAATGATTTTTCTATCTACTTATTCATCTACTATCTTCTCCAAATCATTCTGCCAAGGGAGGGATCGTTTCTCCAACCTCTCAAAAATGCAAACGAGACCGCGACTGCTTTTTGAATCGGGGATTTTGGAAAGCAGATGATGAACGTGTTAGGAAGCTCATTTCTTGCATCTGTTGAACCTCGCCATAGATACAGTACGACTTTATTTGACCTAATAGCAGATTTTGTTAGGTAACGTCTCGGCGATATCGCCTTCTTTAGAGCCTTCCCAGATGAGCAGATATGAGACTCTTCAGAGAGCTCTGATCAGTCTAATATCTGCTATACTGTCGCGTCTGTGAGGTAATTGCGCTGGTTTGGGAAGGCTGTGAAGAAGGGGAAATGACGTTAGCCAACGGAACATTAAAATTCGTGGGCTCCAAGGAATCTTCCCGGGGAAATCTTGCAGTCTTTCCAACATGAATATGTCAGTTGTGATCACTAGAGACAACGTACAAAGTTTCACGCACAAAGATTCAGTTTCCGAAGAGAAACAAACTTACAAAAATACACTCTATGGACGGTCGGAAGAAGGTCGCGCGGTGCCAAAGGCGGGGCTCGCCCCGGGTTAGGGTGGCCACGTATCAGGCGACGCAATGAAAGAATCGGGTTGAAGCGTGCGATTTTGAGAGTAGAGACAAATCGATCGATAGAATAGGATGCAGTAGAAGTGAGATGTAATGCAATAAGTCAAAGGTCAGAAAGAGTTTCCTAGTGACGCACTCTGGGAACCAAGTGAAGCGATTCCATCGCTAGCATTTGTGGCAGATGTACGACAGGGATCTACTCCCGGTTTTTTGAACTGATGTACAAAAAATGCATTTTTTTGTGCTTTCCGTACTTGTCGTGAACGATGGGTCTCAAGTCAGTGACCTATGGATGATATGAAATCTTTTTTTCCGGGGAGGATTCCTTTGAAGCAACAATCCCAGGACGAATTTGCGGGTAAATACCGTTGATAATGTAGTTATAGGCGACAATTTGACCGATAGTGACGAAAAAACCAAAGAAAAACGCCGAACAGGGCTTTAAACAGGGACTCCCCTTCTGCCGCTTCAGCGATGTGGGAAGACGCGCGTTGGACGAGTTGTCTGAACTTGCCCCACTAAATGCGCTCCAGTTGCATAACACTAACATAATTACATAACACTATACATAACATAACAACATCACAACAACAAAAAAAGAAACAATTCCAGTGCAACAGGCAGGATCACATTGATTACTTTAAAGGACAGAGTTCAAATACTCCCTGTGGTCCCAAAACGAGCACGAATGCCTCCGTAGCCAATCACGGCTGTCAAATGGGAGGTCCCG